TGCGAGATGCATTCAATATGGTTGAAACTAAGGAAATGAAAAAAAAAAACTGAAGAAGTAATCAGCAAAATTATCTGCAGGATTGCTAATCCAGGAAGTGAAATAGCAATTCGCCTTTCCTTTGAGTGCTTAGCACAAATTTTGTGAAGTCCATAGAAAGCAAACGGCAGCAATTTTCCAAATGAAAACGACTGCCGGATTATGACGTTTTCCACTTTTAACTCTTCGAGCACCGAACCAAAATGGAATGTACACTATTCGGTAATTTTCAACGGATTTCTGATGTTTCTTTCTCCCCTTGGTTCAACTGATCATGTTTAATGGTGCTTGGAACGATTGTTAGTTTGAATGCTCTTGCTTATTTTTATTCTTGAAAACTGATAAAATATCTAATAGAATGCTAGTCGATTTTTAAACTTCACTACTGACATCAGAGAAAAGTTATATACAATAATAATCTCGATTTTACTTTGCAATGGCAAAAAACAGATAGCGTGACCAACATTTTGATAAAACGTTGAAAAAATGACCATTCCAACCATTATAAAACGGATGAATAGAATCCGAGATACATCATTTTGAAAAAAGTTCCAAGTTCATTTTCAGTTTGGTGCACGACGAGTTAATGCTCGAATTTCTTCCACTACCTGACTATCTGTTATTCTACATCTGCAGATGCATTCGAGGGAAAAAATGGATTACGAATACCTTCCAATAGAGGGAGAAGGCAAAGTAGATGGATGGAAAAATGCACCATATTCTGTGATTAGATTGCCCGAAATGTCGGAGCACACCCAGTTTCAACACAAACAAGACGCATATCCCATGCAGACACGTCGAACACCCGTTGAAGTGCATTCGCTCGGGACCTAATCTTTTTTTATTGCGACCAAAGAGACCAAGCACACAATCCTGCATTCAAACAGGCACAATCACATAAACAGACACAATGCTGGATCCCGTCAGGATCATGCGGATGTGTGGTTTTCGGGATCGACTGGAGGCAAACATCATCCTGGAAAAAGGCTCCGAGCCTCTTCCTTGGGAAAGTTGCACAAACAGGCTGTGCATTCATGTAGGGAAATATAATTCAAAATTCTAGATACTTTCCACAATCGAAATGTGCACCCGATAGTATTTGCAGCGCTGAAACCAGGATGTATGGAGAGAAGTTGGCTGAACTTTGTTTGGCCTGGAAGCATATCTTTGCTGCCGTTCGTGTGTAGATATCTAGCAATGGTAATGCTACTGCAGCAGCTGTAAGAAACAAACTTAACTACAATGCGGGTGCAGCATAAAGAGATCTGCAGATTGTTCAAAAACAAGCCAGAGAAGTTAGGTAACATACATATCAAAATGGGAGTTTATGGTCAGGGACTAATATCTTGAAGCAGTTTTGAATCGAGATTCGGAGAATTCAGACAAGCTTTGTTTGTATCTAATTTGCAATTTTGAAACGGAGCGCTCACCGTAGGTCCATTGCCGAGGTAAGCTGAAGCAATAACTTTGGGATTCATAGGTTTCAAAAGATTAGGTTTAGGAACAGTGACAAAGCACTTTGCGGCACGAAGGTATGTATCATTTGTTCTTTTCTGTTTCAGGCAACGACATTTTATGTTTAAAGAATGATAAATTACTCCTTCATTAGTTGCTCTACCTATTTCTATAACAGTGGGAATGAAGCTATTGAGTTTTCATTTTTGTATTTGCACCCGATCCAAATTATAACAGAATTATATCAATGGTTAATATTTATATCAACGTATGGTATATTTTAATATGTTAGTGAAAAGTGGTTTGTGCGATGTTTCTCATCATATCAGAACTATAACAAACTCAGTTATAATAACTATCAATACATAAAATATGTATTAATGATTCCAAAATATAAGTTTATTCACAAGAAAACGACATACCCACAATGAAAATTCACACAAAAATTAACCCTTTCGGAGCTAGGAAAGCATTAGTAAAAGTGGTAAAGCTTTCGGGAAAAGGTTTGCACAGATAAAAATTCTGAATTTTAATTGTGATGGAAACATTCATTCACGTAGACTTGTATTTCATTTCACGCAACCGAGCAACTTGCAAAGAATGTTGTTTACAAAGATGGGCTTTTGTATACAATATTTGCTACAATGCATGAAATGTGTCAGAACTTTACATGATATATAATGTAAACGTATATGATAAGTGACGCTCCATTTATGTGCATCATATTGAACATAAATTTACACTACTTTTTCGAACTGTGTGCCTATGGTGAAAACATTCAACATTTTAATAGTCTTCCAAACCTCCTTGGGTAAGCTTGTGCCTTATGTAAAAATTCAGTGCCATAAACATTATGTCTTTGACATGAATATTGTCCACGCACTGGGATCCTCTTCGATGAGCTCCAACGCCTGGCAACGGCTGAGCGAACTATTCGGAAATGGTCACTGGTTCAGGGGGCTTAGCCACAGAAAGTTAAAACTCTTTAGTCTTTAAAAAGACTGATTGGTTGGCTGTGTGGTTGGTTTCGGTCAGGAGAAAAGAAATGAACTCGCGACGTTAGATTAATTGTATATATATTGAACGGGTGTGATTCGTATAATGGTTCGATTTGTACTGATTGTAGGTAAAGTTTGGTGCCGGTACTTTATACCTACCGACTCGATCGATAGTGATCGAGTCAGGAGGATATTCCTACGTGATGTTTGTTGTTTCCTGCTGTGTGGAGTGTAGAGCGAAATACAATTATGTGCGGCGTGTGGGTACAATAGGTTTAGATTTCTGCTTGTTCTGTGTCGCTTATGCAGTGGTATCTCGGACCATCGCGTTGTCCGCGACATACCGGCCACCATGAAAAATGTGTTTCATTAAATTTAACAATAAATTCACTTCTTAACTAATACTTCACAATCAATCATCTGGCGCTGCATTGTCGTCAGGGTCACCAGGCACTTCGCCGGAAGTGGAGGTGGAACTTGCGTCATCGTCGATGGGAAGCAGGCAGATCTTCACGATCGGTCGGTCGAAGACTGCGCCGGATGCCAGTCTGACGGTCACCGCACGGACGAGGCCATCCGCGCCGGGATGGACGGTTTCGATTCGACCCATGCTCCACCTGAGCGGTGGTAGGTTGTCGTCCTTCAGGAGTACCAGCTTGCCGACCAGAACATTCGGCTGCCGGTAGTAGTGCTTCGAACGCTGCTGTAGTTGATGAAGGTACTCCGTCGACCAGAGTTTCCAAAAGGTTTGAGTTCTGCGCTGCACCTCCTGCCAAAGCGAAAGCCGGTTGTTGGGAACTTGGGCAAGGTCGGGCTCCGGGATTGATTGGAGAGCTGATCCGACCAGAAAGTGTCCCGGTGTGAGGGCTTCCGTGTCACTTGGGTCTTCAGATAGGGCCGTCAGTGGCCGAGAGTTGAGACAGCTCTCTATCTGGCAGAGGATGGTACACATAACATCGCTTGACAGGGATTCCAAGCCGGCGACTCGCCAAAAATGATGCTTGAAAGCCTTGACTGCGGCCTCCCAAAGGCCGCCGAATGTCGGAGCGTTCGCGGGGATGAAGTTGAACTGGATGGATGATTCAGCGCAGAACGATGCTATCTTCAGTCGTAGTTGTTGATCGTTGAGTTGCTTGCAGAGGTCTCGGAGTTCCCTGTCTGCGCCCTTGAAGTTGGTGGCATTGTCACAGAACAGGGCGATTGGCTTGCCTCGCCGTGCAACGAACCGTTTCAACGTTGCGATGAAGGCTTCGGAGCTGAGATCGCCAACCAATTCGAGGTGTACGGCCTTTATAGCCATACATACGAATACAGCGACGTATGCTCGGATCGGTGGAGCTGGTTTCGTTCGACGTACTGGTACCTTCAGCCAAACGGGACCACAGAAGTCAACGCCCGTGTTCAGGAACGCACGGGCCGGAGTGATGTGAACTTTCGGAAGTTGGCCCATCAGCTGGTGTTCTGCTTGTGGTCGTGTGCGGTAACAACGCAAGCAGGATTTGACGTGTCTCCGTGCCAGGTTACGGAGGTTTAATGGCCAATATTGTTCACGGATGTGTGCGATCATCGCACGCGGTCCAGCGTGGAGAAGCTGCTTGTGCACCGAATCAACGAACAGTGAAGTGAACGGATGCGCTGCAGGCAAAAGCATTGGATGCTTGCGCGTGAACGAGTATGAAGAGTGGTTCAGCCGGCCACCGGACAGAAGTACATCATCGTGGATGAAGGGATTCAAGGTACGTAATGGGGATTTCTTGAGATCCGCTTCGCATCTGGCCTGAAGCATAGCGATTTCTTGGCTGAAGCACTCATTTTGCACAACTTTCACAAGGCCTTCTTGTACTTGAAGGAGTTCTGCTGAGGTAAGGTACGGAATAGCTTGTAGGTGGAATCCAGCGAGCTTGGCCCGACAGTACCGCACAAATCTGCGGCAATATGCAGCGATGCGGGTGAGTCTCGTTAGTGACGAGTAGCGGGTGAACAGTGTGCGGTCGGGAGCTTCGGTGGATCGAGTGACGGCTGCAAGCGTACAAAGCTTCACCTCGAGAACTTCGGGAGGAAATTCACAGGCGTCTTGGACTGGAAACATACTTGGCCACTCCGCTGGATCGGACGTTAACCACGGTGGACCCTTCCACCATAGTGCGTTGTTGACGAGCTCGCAGGGATCGATACCCCTCGAGATGAGATCGGCCGGGTTCTCCAGACCGACGACGTGATTCCAAGTGCCTCCTTCAGTGAGTCGCTGCACCTCCGCGACACGATTTGCCACGAAAATGTTGTAGTTGGACGGTGGGTTGTACAGCCAGTGGAGAGTGATTGAAGAGTCAGACCAAAAATAAGCACTAGCATTTATGTTGAGGCTTAACATAACAGTTTGGTACAGTTGGCTGAGGAGGACAGCAGAGCAGAGCTCTAGACGGGGAATTGATAAGGTTTGGATAGGAGTTACTCGGGATTTGGCGGTTAGGAGACGGGTTGTGACGACACCACTTCTTCCGACACTTCTCAAGTAGATGCATTTTGGGATGCATCGCAAAACCCATGAAGTTGCACGTTGTCTCCGGCGCCTGGAGCTTTGACCAAACGAGAGATGGAAAATGTTCCTAGAGCAGCCAGACCAAGTCTGTAGTCTTCCCACACGGTACAGAGTGCATTGGGAAGCTCTTCGTCCCAGCTTAGTTTCAACTTCCAAAGTTGTTGGACAAACACTTTGGCTGTGATGATCACCGGACCCAAGATACCCAATGGGTCGAAGAGTTTGGACATCTCGGAGACCACGATTCGTTTCGTGATCGGATTATCAGAGAATCGCTCAGGAACTTTGAACCGGAAGGCATCCGATTCAGGGTGCCACAGCAGACCGAGTGTGCTGACAGAGCCTTGAATGTCATCAACTGCTACAATCGGCCTATCATCCTTCAGGTTTTCCGGGATATGTGACAACACTTCGGACGAATTCGACGACCACTTTCGAAGTTCGAACCCTGCGGACGCAAGGATGCTCTGCACTCCAGAATGCAGCTGCGTTGCTTCTTCCACAGTGTCAGCATCGCTCGCCGAGTGATCGTAGGACAATTGCTGTAGACACCGAGTAGCTAGATACGGCGCACATGCGGTGCCGTATGTTACCGTGGTCAGCTCGTAGGGATGGACGTGTGAATCAGTCCTGCTTTGCCAGTACACGAGCTGAAGACGTCTATCGTCAGGATGTACCCACATCTGGCGATACATCTTGGTTACATCTGCAACTAAAGCCACTTCGTACATGCAGAACCTGATGACGATAGCATATAATGCATCCTGAACAGTCGGTCCCACCATAAGGCAATCATTGAGAGAGATTCCCGTAGAAGACTTGCTGGACCCATCGAAAACCACTCTGCACTTAGTGGTAGTGCTGCTCGGCTTGAGCACGGCGTGGTGGGGAAGATAGAACGAGCGGGTATGGGTTTTGTCTAGTAATGGGTCTACGGAAACCATATGGCCAAGTTCTATGTACTCTGCCATGAAGTCTACATACTGGGCCTTCAAATCGGGGTTCTTGCTGAGTCGACGTTGCATCCATTGAAATCTGCGAAGGGCACCGATCTCGGAGTCACCAAGTTGACTCAAGACGTGCTCTTTCTTCGGCAGGCGTACAACGAATCGGCCTGATTAGTCGCGGGTGGTAGTTTCGGAAAAGTACATCTCGCAAGCTAATTCTTCCTTAGACAGTCCACGGCTTTGAGGGCAACTCTCGACTTCCCAGAATCGAGTCAGTTGTTGGTCCAAGTCATCGGTGGTACACAACAGAGCGACTCGCTCAGGTCCTTGGGTAGCGGTATCGATGGCAACAGGTCCACTTACTACCCATCCGAGCACGGTACGTTGGAGAATAGGCTGGTGTTCAGAAGGACCAGCTTTTACTGGGATCTGTCCTTCCTGCAGAAGGCTGAAGAACAGCTGAGCACCGATAACCATATCGATCCTTTGCGGCGAAGCAAAATCTGGGTCTGCCAAGACTAACTCAGGAGGGAGGTTCCATTGCGAAATGTCGATTGCCCTAGAGGGCAGATCGTTGGTGATCTTGGAGAGGATGCTGAACGTCAGTGTGTTAGAGTAGGTGGAATTAACAGAACTGAAATCTGCTACGGTGCAGTAAGTACTGTTGACAGTAGAGCCACCCATTCCAGCGATAATTGCAGCTTGCTTTCGTCGGTTCAATCCCAAAAGTTGAACGATTCTTTCGGTGATGAAGTTTGACTCGGAGCAGGAGTCCAACAGGGTTCGAACAAATGTAGATCTCCCCGACGGGCCGTGGACCTTTACCACGGCGGTGGATAACAGAACAGTCGAGTAGGTGGTGGTGGAAGAGCTTGCTGCAGTTAATGCGTTGGTGAGAGGTTGGTGGGTGGCGGACAAGGTGATTGGTGATGGTGGAATTGGAGTGGACAACGATGCCGGGACCACGGCTCCGCTTCCGGTGTATGTGGTGGATTGTAGATTTCCAGTAGGTGGTTTGACTTGGGGTTGGGTGTAACGATCGTTGGGGGAGGAAAAATGCAAAAGTGTATGGTGTTTTTCGTTGCACTTCCGACAGGGTTTGGAGGAGCAGTCACGGCTGAGATGACTCGATGATAAGCAATTCCAGCATAGCTTCTTCTTACGGACGGTGTCTTGCTTCTGTTCGATTGACATCCGTTTGAACACCTCGCAATCGTAAATCCGATGCGGTTGATTGCACACGATGCAGCTGAAAGCTTTTGGTGGGTATGATTTTGCAACGGATGCAGTGTGAGCAACAGAGAAACGGGGTTTATCTTTTAGAGGGGAGGGTACCAGGGTTCCACTGTTCAAGGACATCAAGATCTGAGCTTGATCTTTCAAAAAGGTAATCAGCTCGTCATACGTAGGAACCTTCTCTTTATCGTTACCTGTTGACCGTTCCCATTCCCTCAAAGTGCTTTGATTCAAGCGACTGCACACCATGTGCACGAGCAGGGAGCTCCATTGCTCTGTCTGCTCCTCCAACGTCGTTAGGATTTTTACATGGCGTTCGAATTGGTCAGCCAGGCACAATATGGTAGCAGAAGATTCCTTTTTCACAGGCTCAATTGCGAAAAGAGAGTTAATATGGTTTTTAATTAGCAGGCGCTTGTTATCGAAGCGACTGACCAGTAAATCCCAAGCGATCCTGTAATTATCTCCCGTAATGCTAGTCGTATCAAGAAGTTGCTTGACGGGTTCCTTGAGTGCTGCCATCAAGTAATGGAATTTATCTACAGCAGCCAAACCTTTATTGTTGTGGATTAAGCTGCGATAAGCATCATAAAATGGGATCCAATTGTCTATCTCGCCATCAAAAGTTGGCAAATCAATTTTTGGCAAGCGCACTACAGATGTAGAAACCTGAGAGGCATTAGCAGCAACATGGTGGTTCACTTTATTTGCGGTGAGGAAGTCATGCAACTTGTAGTACTTGTCCTCCATTTCATTGCGGCTTTTGATAAACGTACCCTTTGTCTCGGCTTTTTCCAATGTTTATAACACGTTCTGTTACATTTGTTCGAATCACTCAGTTTTAAAAACTCGTTTCTGTGCTCAATCTTTATTTACCACTACACAATAGCACAACGGGGACAAATGCACTATGGCAGGTAAGTTTCTTGAGGTTTTATTCTCTTTCTAGCCTTCGCGGGAGCTCACAACACAGATAAGGATTTCACGATAATCCTAATTCCTTTAGGCCGATAAAAATGTTATTTTCACTTTTTGTCCAATAAAAAAATGCGTGTTGGAGGCAAGATTAAAAAAAAAAAACAGTGATCAGACATTCGATCGTTAATAACAGTATAACTAGCTCTTCTTAGGTCTACCACGTGGATGCCGCTCAGTTTTCTGCTCAGCAGCAGATGTTTTATCAATTGGCGTCACTGTTTTGGAGGAGCACCGTTCACAGAACAATAATTTCTTTTCAATCCCTGTAACGTTGGGATGGAGACATTTAGCGCATAAATCTTTATATCCCATCAAATTTGGGCCAGCTTGATAATAATGTAATGTGATAGGATCATGGCATGACAATTTTGGATTCTGGAATACTTCTGGAAATGAATCCAGCAGCGAGCCACAAACATACAACTTTTCTTCGAAATATTTACTCAAGTCAGTATATCCAGTGCATATTTTGTATACAGCAGTCTCAGAAAGCTGCATTCCGTACAGGTGACAATCATTCGTGCCCTAGTATACGCTAACGGGAATGACGGTTTGGGTAGAATTATCTTAAAATCTGAAGACGCTGCTTGTTTACTTGGGACGTGTTCATCAGTAGGTTCGTTACCGTAAACAGAATCAAAGTTCTGATATTTATCTACTTCAGGAACAGGGGAGGGAAGCCATTCAATCTGATTAAAGATGGATGTTGGCAACCGGATTTTTTCATGATATGGACACGATTTGTCAGTACATTTTTTCACCTGGAATGCATAACAGGTAACCCTGAAGTGTTTCTCAAAGAATTCTTGAATTTGAGGCTCGTTCATGATTTGTGATTTGGTTATCTTCCCTCCAATGTCTATGCCACCGAATGCCATGGAGACCTGATTCCTCAGTGCACCAATTTCACCCTCGGTAGCAGGACAGCCCATCCTCACTTGTTCAACTTTGTACGTCAAACTTTCGAAACGGGTATTCAATATATTCCGCGCGTCTCTGGTCCCATCAATTGCCAATTGACGATACTTTGTTTCAGGGTGCTTTTCTTGAGCATCTCGCCATTGCTTTTTGGAAAGAAATGAATGAACTTTCTTTCCTTTTTTTCCGAAATCATTCCTGGCAAGGGCCACTCCAATTAGTGCAATGTTCGCCGTGCTCATGAATCTTTCGGCTGGGTTTATAACGGAAAAAAAAATGGTGGAGTTCGCACCGCACAGAGGTAGTCTAGATTTAGTTCCAAAAACAATGCAACGTAGCTGAGTCTTACTTGAATAGAATCCACATTGTGATCGGGTCCTTCATCCGTTCCAATGAACATAATCGGTCGTTGCAGATCAGGTTCTTCTATATGCTTGACCAATTCCGTTGCATGTCGAAACGCCGTTCAAGGCTCAAATACTGCATCCTTCAATATAATCATCATAGAAACCGATGGAACTAAATGCTGCGGCACATTATCGTAATCCATAGCATTAAGCCCTCTTCCATCATGTCCAGCCATGAGTACATGCCGCTGTCTTCGAGTTGCGCTAACAGGGGCTCCTTCCAATCCCACTGGAATCGACACTTTGTCATCCAAGAAAAAAAACAGTAGAGAAGCGTCCTGAAAACCAACCAATTAAATATCTGGAATGTGTCATGTAACTTCAAAACTTACCAGCCATAACTTTCATAAACTGAAACTGCTTAGCTCCATAGTGCTGGTCCACATGCGCTTTGTGTAGCGTACGTTGTTGAAGCCCAAACTTCACGTCAAATCGTCCGTAATAGCGTTTTGAAACTCGCGAATGACTGTTTCTCGGAACGAATTGTAGACGAAAATATTCGTAAGATGGAATACAATTGGACCTTGATTCAGGGAATATTTCTCGCATTTTCGTCTCGCATTTGGACATTAAATCACGCATTGATACGCATAGTGGTGAGATCCATGTCGTTTCACCGTGGCGTATCTCTTCTGCGACTATATAGTCGTTATTAGCAAGGACCTCCGATACAGCAGCCCAGAAGTTCGAAAACTTTTCCGATTTTGCTGCCTGCGCTTGTTGCTCGAGATGTACTGCTTCCGAAACCGGAAAACCTTCCCGCAGTAGAAATTCGAATCCATTCCTACTGTCCTGTATATCCTCCTGAGGGAGCTCACCAGACAACCAGAAGTCGTATAACAATGTACAGACAGTATCGTAAATTGCTACAGTTTAAGTCAAAATCGCATATCAGAATGGCATACCTCGCATTATGTTCAAGTTAAATCGTATAGAATGCAAATTTCCGACTTATATGCGATGACTCATTTTTCCGTCGTACTGTATCACAAATTAAATCGGATTACATCGTAAGATTTTTAAAAATGAATTTGTTATTACAGATTAAATCGTATATGATGTTAAATCAACTCGTTTAAAATTAAACGAAAATATGCACCCATATGGCCTCCACTTTTGTACGTATAAGCCATTTCTTTGCATTCTATACGACTTATTTGTTTGTATATATGTTTGTAAATCACGAAAACGACTATACGTGTATACGATATACGTGCATTCTGGTTGTCTTGGCGAATTGGACGCAGCAACTGCCAAATGAAAGGTATTTTGATTCCAGTATGGACAATTGATTCCAATATGGACGGTACATTTTTAACTGCAGATAAGCTTATACAGGCAAAAAATGGCTTATACAGTTCATTTTTTGACTATATTAGCTAGTCTGAAGCTTGTATTGTTTGTTGGAACGGTTTGCGAGTCTATAATCGGCCTTAATCGTTTTAAACCTGACACCATCAAATGAGAATACAAAATCAAGTGCAACAAGTGGATGTTTACACAGACAAACTTTCTGACATTTAACCATCGCGTTAAATCTATCCACGTCAAGGGGTAAGTCACTCAGCTAATTGTGCCGGAATTATATTCTACACAGCTTGGGCACATCCATCGGCACATTTTCTGCATACATTCGGCACAACTGTCATTGAAGTTGTGCAGAACATTACGTGCTGTTTGACTGTATGTTCAGGGACATCTTCTAATTGAATTCACCAAAGGAACTCAGACCAGCAGTTCACTTATAGATCTAAATACGAAATGTAGGTTCAAGAGTGGACTCAAGAGGAAGAGGCAGTTTATCAGACCTCATTAGTACCCTTAATTCAAATAATGCTGCAACTCACACAAAACAAACTAAAGAAGTCTATTCATCACCCTCTATAGTCGGTCTCCAACAATGCTTCCCACCGGTTCCAACTCTTTCCGGCCGAAAGGCTAGGTTTCTAGTCTGCCTTTGAGGGCATTATAAAACACTAAAACGCAGGACTTTTATTACTCTATGGATCACAAAACACCGAAATTTCGCACACCCGCCACTTCCCGCGTCATCCTCAGTCCGATTTATCTATGCGATTTCAAACCAAAACATTCAAGGTGTCAGAAATACCGGGTTGCCGGGATGGGTATTTTACAAACAATCGCAGCTTGCTCTATGACCGGCACAATTGTCACAGTTGCGGCACACTGACAAAAAATATGACCCAAGATTGGTGTGCGGAGTGACCTACCCCTAGATCCACGTTTAATTTTGAGCTATAACATCGAAATTGCTTTCAAGCTTGATCGAAGTAGGTCACGCTTCAAAATTGACGTGTTTTTGTTAAGCTGCGTCGTTTTCGCTCTTAAAAAAAAATAAAATAATAACATCTAGAAAAGTTAAATTTAAAGCACAGAAGGGGTGTTAAAAAGTGTTTCAAGTGATAATTATCAAATCCCACGTGCCCCTAATTTTTGTCGCAGTGATAAGTGATATGAGCTGAACATAGAAATAAATCCTTCCTGTTCCGTGGAATGAGGTTCCGTTCGTTCTAACTAACGTTTTGGAACGCTCAGCTAAGTTTATTTACCATCTATACAAGTGTTTCTTTTTTAACTTAATAACTAAATACGTGCCAGTACAAATTAGAATGCTTTAAAATTCTGGAAGTGTGACTACACTTCAGATATCCATTTGATATATAAATGTGTTCATGCGGGGCTTATTGTATATGAAGATGACCTCAGAATGTACGTGTATGAACAGGCATTCTTGAAATGGGTCATTGGATTTACAGTATAACTATCACCTTTCAGCTCCAGGGCAAAAATGTTTGCATCTATCGGTTAAAAATGTGCTGCACTAGGCAACTAGTGGATACCACACCGTGCCAACTTTACTACAGGCCAGGCTTCTTGAAGCTATCCTAAACCTTAATATAAAAAAAACACACATACACACACAAA